TAGTATACAACTTGACAAGTCTAGCATTTTTTGAGATTACTCGATTTGAAGTAAGGGTCGCACCTAGATTCCGCCGGAGAGTTGCTGCAAAGCATGCGTACGCTCTTGGCAAATTATCACTTCCCCTACAGTTAAAAACCTCCATCGTTGATTTTATGAAGTAGCAAAGCTAAAGAGAGGAAAGGATAGAGAGAGGACCTGGAGAGAAGTCTTTGGTGGTAAAGAGGGAACATCCTTTTTCCGGAAGGTTGCAAACCATTAAGCCACGGATTTCAAGAGCTCTATGTAGTTCTTTCATGAGTGGCCGTTCTATGTTCACTTGCTCTACACCAAATGGCAAACGTCGTCACTGGCTATGAAGTTTGATAAAGCAAATGATTATATTTTCAGGTAATTCGGATTCGCCTCTGAAACTTTTGGGGTTTTACACTTTGATGTTTGATCAACTTTTTTCCACATCAGATTTTAAGGAAAACTAATGAAAATGGCTTCAAAACTTTGAGTTTTAATAAAAAAAAACCATCATATAACTTTATTTAATGATACGGACAAGAGAAAGAAAACAAAAAACAAAAAACAAAAAAACAAAAAAACAAAAAAAAAATTAAAAAATTAAAAAAAACTAAAGGCGCATGCAAAGAGCACCCAACCAATCATTTAGTTGCATAACCCTTAAACATAATCCAAGCATATTTTATTCCTCTAAAATTAAAATTTCAAATTGAAGTGGGTTCCGTTCAATTCAGAACCACATCTAGGGTGGTATGGTTGGGAGGGAGTCGATCAGGTGTGGGTTCAAAAGGTTGGGGGTAAAGGCGGGGCAACATCATTGACAACATCGTTGGACTCATCACCCATTTTTTTAGTAATGGTATTGAGCTATTAGCCATGCATAACTTTAATGGCGTGGACGTTGATCTCTATCATATCTTTTTTTATCTTTTTATTGCATTATGGTGAAAGAACTTGAAAATCTGGGACGAGCATTTATTGTTAAGTTTCATAAACAGTGTAGTACCGTTTCATAAATAGTGTAGTAAGTTTTATAAACAGTTTGTGTGAGAGGTGAAGGAATTATTTTGAGAAACATGTTCATTTGAGCAACATCATATAGCATGCAATTAACAATTAAAGGCGGAATCATGCTTGTATGCACCCAAAAACAAAACATTACCATGAAATTCAAAGCCTAGTAGATTGGTGAACCAATAATCAACTCAAAACAAAGTGAGTTGAAATTAATACCTTTGTAGATTCCTCTTTGCATAAGCAAAGGCTAATCACCCAAAGAGATAGGGCCTTCATTCCTTGCTTCTTAGATCCATGGATTTGGATGGAAGAATAGGTTCTCCAAGTTCCCAAAATTGAGAACCTCTAAGTCTCTTCACCAAGGTTAGATTGTAGAAGAAATGAGTGACCTTGGAGTAGTAGGATTGCTAGATGTACCCTCCAAGGTGTTGGCCTCTTTAGAGAGAAAATGGAGAGACAATTCTCACCAATTTTCCCCAAAAATAAACCCTTTTAATCCTTAATTAATATTTGGCTATAAAATCATTTATATAGTCACTTCTTTAAGTGACCTAAACAACCAAAACCCTAATTCATTTCATCATGGCCGGCCATTTAGGGGATTTTGGGCTTTTGGGCTTTAATGAATCTTTATTCATTAAATTGTCATACAACTTAAGTTAATGGGCTTGACGTTCGAAGCCCATTGGGCCTTAAGGTCCAAAACTATCCCGGAGGTCTTTAACGAACTTATTCGTTTGATTAATTAACATATTAATTAATCTTTGCCATAAATAAATGATTAAACCATTTAATCATTCTTACTCATTTCCGTTTAATCTTCAATCTCTACCTTTTATGGTGTGCGATCCATTAGGTTCCTTTTAGCGAGATAGTGGGCGATTAAAACCATTTTACATCGATTGTGAATTGAAACTATTTTCAATTCTCCCTTTAGTGATTACACACGTTTAGGGCTTCCACAAACCATGGTTGATGCCTAGCAGCATGTCATGGTTACCCAAGCTAATCAGAAGAGGTTAGAGAACCTATTCAGTTCGGGATTACAAATGCAATACGGTCTTTCTCTAATCTAATACTCTTGACCACATTGTTTGGTTTGATAGTTTATTTGTTCATGTCTACTATCCAATGTGAATCTTGTGCTTATATGATTTACTTGAATGTGATTTGGAACGCATTCCCTAATCTCATTCATACTCTGGCCAGAGATTCTAAATCATATCATAGAGTATTCTCCCTCAACTGTTTGAAGGTTAGAGATCCCTTGTTGCGCATTCACTTGTCTCCATAGCTAAGTCACTTGACCCCAACGATGCCGTGGACGCCCCGAGGGGGTGACTTTGACATAATCAAAGATCAAGGACTTAACCACAAGACAACTGTGATGCCTCAGGTCAAAGGACTACTTTGCATTATCCCAACCATGAGTTCTTATGTGACATGGAATATGAGAACTCTTCGTTGATCACGTTCAGTGTACTCATTCTCTATTGAGCACCTACGTACTTGTCTTGATGTCACACACACCAATGACTCGAGACTAATCACTCTCCCTAAGAGAAGACATAGTACGTACCGATCTTAACGGACTGTCAATGCCCAATTGACAATCCTATGATCAGGAACATTTAGGATGTGTCTACGAAAGAATGGTCTCATGAATCTAACTTCATTAGATTACATTCTCCCAATCACATATTCCTTGGACTTTATCGTTTAAGCATATAACATTTATATGAGACGGCTCAAACAATAATCTTTGCCCTTTATATGTAAAACTAGATTAGTTTAACATGTGAAATGTCCGTAAAGTATCATCACATGATTGGCTTTAGGGCACATTTCCAACAAGAGGCGCACAGGTTTGCGCTTCAGTTTTTTTTTAAATATTAAAATTATGTCTTTTTCATTAAAATTTAAGTTTTGTTGTTCTTTTTATTAAAATTTAAGAGTTTTTCATTAAAATTTAAGTATTTTTATTAAATAAAGTTATAACATGATTTTTTTATTAAGATAAACTTAGTTCAAGCCCTTTTCATGAAAGCAGATTTTAGGGGTGTGATATCTACACACCCTATTTTACTTCTCACACACCCTTCTAATTTTTGGCCGTCGGATCGGATGAATTAAAGAAGATCAACGGACAGAAATTAACAAGGGGTGTGTGAGAAGTAATTTAGGGTGTGTGGATAGCACACCCCAGATTTTAAACCCAAAAGTGACTTCACGGATTGTCACGCTGCTTTAGACCTTCTGTTTCCCTTCATGCTGTGTATATTTTTACAACTTAATACAACCATGTATGTGTGTGTGTGTGTGTGATGGGCACTTCACTCTGTATATTATGATACAAAGACTCCTCAAGTTATCTTTCACTTTTTGTTAAATGAGGACAATTGTTTTTAATATAGGAGGTGTCACATCCTGGCCCGGATCCACCACATCCTGGGACTGTTCCACCACCGTAGCACGATATTGTTCGCTTTGGGCTTACCATTCCCTCACGGTTTTGTTTTTGGGAATTCACGAGCAACTTCCCAGTGGATCACCCATCATGGGAGTGCTCTGGCCTCCTTCTCGCTTAACTTCGGAGTTCCTACAAAACCCAAAACCAGTAAGCTCCCAAAAGGCCTTGTGCTAGGTAGAGATGAGAATATATATTTAAGGATCACTCCCTTGTACGATGTGAGATGTTACATGAGGGGTATCATTATACCACACTTAAGTGACAAATTAATTTCTCTTTTCTTACAATCTTGGTACCGTGGTAACATACTTTTGACTATGAATAAAATAATTTGCCAAAACAGAATCGACACCTCAAAATTTTACATTCATTAAAGTTCACAGTGGTTTTTGTTCGCTTTAAATTGCACAAACTCCTTGGGTTTTATTTTGAGGGTAAACGATAATTTCATTCATAAAACACCAACTAGAACAAACATAAACATACATGTGGACAAAATGATGGCCTTTGAAAAAAGTTTAGTGGGAAAAAGTCAGACCAAGGAAAAAAGCAAGACGAAATTTACCATTTACAGACTAGGCATGGATGGGCCCCATATCCACCCAAAACAATAGTCTTGATCATGGTCTAAAATATCCATAATATCCCGATATTTTTATTGAAAATTTCGGTGTTTTTGGACTACCGATATTTTTTTGGACTACCGATATTTCCGATATCATCGATATTTTAAACCTTGCTAAATCACTCATGTATCTTACCATGCAATGTATAAAGTGTAAAATATTGTACTAATTCATTATATATAAATTATTATGGTGTGTTTAAACTTCTTTAATTAATTACTACATATTTTCCATACTCACAATGTTTGACAGCTCGCTATATAATCAACTTAAATCAGTTATATCTATCATGCAATGCATTTCCTTCCAATTTTTTGTGATAAACTAATAGATAATTGACTAAATAAACATCCTGCAAAGTTTCAATAAAAATTTCCAAGTTTTTCTTACAATTTCTGTGGTTTTTATTTAATTTTTACCGATATCGATAATATCACGATATTTCCATCGAAATTTCCGTGTTTTTGGACTACCGATATTTCCGATATCATCGATATTTTATACCTTGGTCCTGACATTACAAACTATATCGAGCTAAACGATGAGCAATGCTATTAGCTTTCCTTGGAATGATTCACCACCACCTGATTAGTTTATAATAATGCATGTATACCATCCACAGACTCCTTCAGCATCCAAGCAGACCTCGTCCTGGTTAAGAAGTTGAAGCAGCCTAATGAGGACAGCTTAATCGTTAGTGACCAAAGTAATAGAATTACTGCTTGCTAGGTACAATTCACTTCAATGGTAAAGGATGATCAATCTGGAGCAAAAACCAAAAAAATGGTTGAGGACCAAATTGAAAACCACTAAAACTTTAGGGGGCAAACATGCAGTTAACTCATTTCCATTTTATTCCGTTAAGGTGGCGGGTTCGCAGTGACTACGTGGCATCTCGATTCTCCGTCCCAAAAGCCCAAACGTTTCACTTCCCACTGAAACTTCTGGTTCCTCCGAGTTGAATGCCCTTCGCATCCACCTCCTCGCTAGGGTTTTCCACCATAAGAAGCTCGCTGAAGAAGGCCATTTTCTCGAAGAAAGCGACTTGCAGTCTCTCTCTACCCGCCGCCTTTGCATCAGGTTTGTTCTGCTCTCTAGTCTGTTCCCTACCTACTGTTTGGCTACCTAGAAAATCCAGGAAACTAATTTCATTTTTGAAGTTTCAGCCATGGATGGCAATTCGAACTGTAAGCTGGTTTTGTGCGGGAAATCGCCGCCGGAGAATGAAATTGCTATAGCATTGAAGAGCAGCAACGCTCTGAAGCTCCCTGAGAGCACCGAGATTTCAATTTTGTTACAGTCGGAATTCGAAAAGCCGGTCAAGGAGGATGCTTTCGGAGTCGACTCGTTCATGACCTCGCTCTCTACCAGTCGGTTCGGCAGGTTCCTCCTCTGGTCTCCACGCTTGCCTTCCACACACGACGTCGTTTCCAAGTAAGTTTCGCAAAAGATTGGATTTTTAGTTTCCTGAACTCTGAAGTTAAGTGAATGATTATTTTTCGGATAGTGAATTCGAGTTTTTAGCTTGTTCTCAGCAATTTTTGTGAGCTGCCGGTGGGTGCGGTTTGTGTAGCTGATGTTCAGTACAAAGGGAGAGGTTTGAAATGCTAATTAGTGGTTGAGTTTGATTGATTGATTGTTGTATTTCAATTTTTGGAATTCAATTTGTTAGTTAATTTTTGTGGCAGGGCGGTCGAAGAATGTGTGGGAGTCTCCTCAGGGTTGCCTTCTGTTTTCCTTTACTTTGCAGATGGAGGATGGCCAAGTCGTGCCTCTCATACAGTACGTGGTTTCTCTTGCCGTCACGGAGGCAATAAAATATGTTTGTGATAAAAATGTGAGTGAATTGTTCGTAACGAGTTTGATATGGAAAGAATTAAAAAGTTAACTTTGTCAAATTTATATATATGAGTTTTGTATATGATAGCCATTAATGGTAACTGTAGCAAAGAAGCAAGCTTCATTCAAAATTCGAATTTGTTAAGCAATAAATAAGTGTTCTATTTGTTTCTAATTCAATATGTTGCCTGAGGCGTTCATCTTGACCTCAAGTAATACATAGAAGTTCGCTAGTACTTTAACTGTAGAAAGATTACGTCACTCATATTTACTATCCAACCTGTAATAGATTGCACGGAGATAACTTTTTTCGGGCTTATATTTGGCTACTTGGACCATGCACATTGCATCTGATTGTTATATTTACTAATTTGCAGTTAATTGGTTGATGCTATAGTGCAGACTTTGATACACTTTGTGTTGGGTACATCTTCTGCATTTCAGGGCTTACCATATATTGATGTTAAAATAAAATGGCCAAATGATCTTTATTTAAATGGCCTCAAAGTGGGAGGTATTTTATGCACCTCAACGTATAAGTCAAAGCAGTTCAATGTCTCTGCTGGTAATTAGTCTTATCCTCTGGTTGCTGATTAGCAGGTCTGATTGCAAATAAGCATGCTTTGAAATACCTAACTTCTTACATTCGGTGGACTCTGTTCCTTTCAAGTACTATATGAATGCCACCATCAACAACACGCACATGTGCATGATTGGATAATGGATATTCAACAATAACTTTTATGTTGATGACAGAGATACTCCTGTTTTTGTGTTTGCAGGTGTAGGTTTGAACATTGATAATGAGAAACCAACCACATGTTTGAATGCATTTCTTAGAGAATTGTGTGTTACAACATACCGATTTAGAAGAGAAGATGTTCTTGCCACCTTCTTTAACAAATTTGAGATGTTATATGAAGTTTTTATAAATCAAGGTAAAAACTCATCATGTCAATTATCGAAAATGTCATCTGATATATCAATTATACCATTCCTTCATTTTGATTTTAGTGCTTAATCTTACAGTTTTACCTCAACTATGCATGTTGGTGCCGTTCTTTCTAAACTTTTTCATTTATGTTTCAAGCCAGCTTGAATATTCTGTGAATCAACATTTAATTTCTGCTTGATACCAAAAGTTGAATCCCTTGGTTGTACTGTCTCAGTTATGAGATAGCTGTTTTTCCCCGCTGTCTAACAACCTAGTTTCCTTGCCGCAAAGAAATATGGATAAGTAGTGGGCGGATACAATTATTTCATGTTCTGCACAATTATCTAATTGATCTTGTTTCTGCAGTTTCTATTTCAGCTGTAAAATTCTACTTTGATCAGTAAGAATGATAGAATATCCATCAAGTACGTAGGTTATGAAAATTAACGCTGGCTCTTTTGGTTCATGTCATGCAGGATTCCAATCTCTTGAGGAGCTATACTATAGGACATGGTTACACAGGTAACACACTAACATGTAGATTAGATTCTCTTGTGGATCGTTATGGTTGAACTCAAGTTAGTAATTTTTCAGATGGTCTTTTCTAGATATAAAAAGCAAAGAAGCCTTGTGAAATGTCACACCAAATATTCTGTGAATTTTGTCTTGGTACAAAATAACAATTCTACTCGATCTGCAGAAGCTGTTTTCCAACCATTAATCTGGCCTCCTGATTTTCTTCTGATAAAGTACTGAATTTGTTCTTGTCATTCATCCCCCTAATAGTATATTCCCACATAGTCTGGTTGCCTCTGGGATGCGTGGTATATAAATATGTGGGAAGCCTTTCTTTTGCAAGCTGGTTTTCAAGGATAAGTTCTATCCATGGGTTTAACATGGTATCAACTATCGAGCAAGTTATCTCAGGAATGGGTTGGGTTGTATCTTCATCTTACGTATAAGGGGAGAGCCAAGTGTCTTATCCCCTTTCGCTAGGGGAGTTTTGCTGGGGTACTGTTGGGATGCAGGGGACTCCTTCCTTGTACGCTAGCCTTCAAGAAGCAGTTCTAGTCGTGAGATTGACAGTAACACACCTTCTTCCACAGTACCCATTCATTAGTATTCAATTTGGAATTAGTATTCTACTCATGAGATTGACAATAACACACTTTGGGCTGGTTGGTATTGCTGTGCTTTGAAAAAAAATTGCTTCTGCTGTGCTGTGAGAATAAGCTCATTTTTGCTGCTTCACGTTTTCAGTTTTTTTTCACCCAAAATTGTGAAAATAAGCTGTTTTTAAGTGTTTACCAAACATCTTTTTGAGCTTAGCTTTTTTTTATACCCACTTTTTATAAGAGCACCTCAGTACCAAACCAGTACCTTCTTCCACAATACCCATGTCCTTAGTATTCTACTTGGAATTTGTAAGCTATGGTTTTTACATGGACCAGGTGGTCTATGTTTCACCTATACTGTTATATCGTTGTGCTACCGCCATACCTTAAACAATCAAATTAATTTTTGTTGTCTTGCATTTTCAGCTTTCTTGACATCTTAATTTTCTTACCATCATAAAAACTTGGGCTAGGTGAAGGAGCAAGAATGCTTGTAATCTTGAAGCCTTTGCGTCTTTTCCTTTCTCTTTGTCGATATAATATCATAATTAAGAAAGATGAACAGGTATCCATGCTTAAATTAATATCAATCAAGAGAAATATGCTCCAGCACGTAGATCCACTTTGAACATAATTTTTTTTTGGTATCTGCAGTGGACAGAGAGTTATTGTGCAAGAAAAAACTGAGGATCAAGTGGTGGAAAATGTGGTCACTATTCAGGTGTGGCAAACTAGACAGCTTCTCAATGAGGCACTGCCTCAAATTTTGGATATGCATGCCTATGTAAATGAAATAGCGTATACCCTTTCTTATGATAAACCGAAACAAAAACTACTATTTCATCCTTTCTGGCTCAGACAAATTCAATCGTTAACTTTATGGATATATTTCCTTTTGTTTCAACCAAAGTTTGTTCATTTCCCTTGATTACAAAATTTAAAGTACTTATTGGTTAAAAATGTTTGTGAATCCTTGATTTGAATGATCTGCAAAAAGATCTAGCCTCAAAATCAAAAGATAGGGGGAAAAACTACAATTACACCTTCTATGGCTAGCCCTATTTACATGGATAACCCTGTAATTTACTGTCTTACTCTTAGACCCCTTATGGTTGCCTATCTTGACTGTCCACTTTAAAATCTCCAAACTTATGCACAAATTCCATAAAATAGCCATGCAAATACCCCACGACCACTATGAGCCAAGATATTTGCACGCACCATGTCAAGCATTGATATGCCTCTCATCACAGCCAACATGTGGCCATTGCTGGACACCCTTGGATACGGGTGTAACTCCATCTTTGTAAAACTATGCATGATTGCAATCATAGAATAGAATGGCTTGAACAGGGGAAGAGGATAAGAATAAAATAGCCATTTACATGATTATTAACAGCATCCCTTAAGTAGACAAATTAGGAAACAAGATATACCCGTGTAAATAGGGTCGACCGTAAGGGTGTTATATGGTTTGAGGTATGATTGTTGCAATATTCTATATTTGGTACTAGGGTTCTCAGGACTAAAAATCTTCAATTTGCAGGGTTTGACCTCATCAGGATATTTGTTGGCTATTGGTGATGACAATCAAATGTGTGAACTTCATCCTGATGGCAATAGGTACGTTTGCTCAAAAGATTTTTTTTCTTTTTGGCGTGATATAGTGTTGCTTAATTTAACTATGAAACTTACTTAAGCAGTACGTGCAAAGTGTTTTTTGTTTTTTTTTAATAGTCTAATGTATGCTTTTGAAAGCTCCATTATAACTACTGGATGAACATATGGCGAGCAAGCTCTTAAGGGTAAAAATAAACAGTAATTTCCTTTCACTTAGCTAGCTCAATTTTCAATTTTTATTTTTCTGGGCAAGTGTGTTAGCACAATTTAGAGCCATCAACATTTCAACTTCAACCAAAGGGAACACTCTTGTCAAGATTGCCTTAAGCCATTTCTGTCATTCGGAATGGATACCTGGTAATAAGGTTCGAATTTTTTGATACACGTTACTGGGGAGATCTGTTTGATTTGATGTGGTTTTTGTAACTTTTGAAAGTTAGTATATGAAAGAAAGTATCTATAAATTGGTAGTTATTGGAAGTAGTAGAAATTCGTGGTATTATGCCTGAAGGTACTTGCATTGTTTTGTTGACATATTAATGGTTTATTTTACTATTAGTTAAAATCCTGTCCTGGTTTGGACCAAATACCGCATCATATAAGCTTTTTGTTTGAGACATCAAATGGTGAAGATTTGGTAGTTGAAATCTCACACCCTTATTGTATATCTGTTGATTTGAAACTGTACCTCTGCTTTACTAGGTGACAATAATCATGTCAGGTTGCTTGGTCAAAAGGACAGTAACTTGGCGTCATGCCCTTTTGTAATTTTGTTTGACCATCCACAGATATAATACCGTTGCTGCTCATGTTTCCTTTACTGTTCATTTCTGTCCAAATACAGTCATCGTGATAATTTCGCATGCGTTTACCATCTTTGATGTGACTCTGATTTGATTTTCTATGGTACTCCGGAGCATTATAGAATTTTTGGACTCTGATTTTATTTAGTAATGGCCTCTTAATCCTTGCCTTTGTATTTATGTAATTAGTTAGTGAATGCATTCCTGTTAGTTGGGGCAGAATCGGTACTGGACATGTCTTTCTGGTCGAACATTTCATGCCTGTATTTGCCTGTTTTTCTGATGAACTACCGTATCTATCAAGCATTTTGGCAATTTCATGGAGTGGTTTTACATTCATATGCTATAATTTCAGAAGTAGGTCAGGACATGAGCCTGGCTATTTTTAACCTAAGTAATGATTATATTGTCTCTGTTTGTCCATATAGTTTTGACTTCTTCAAAGGATTAGTCAGGCGAAAAATGGACTGAAGAAGATTCCTTGGCACCACCTTGCATCAGTGGCTTCAAAATTGCTGCATCACGCGCACTACTGAGAATGTTCTCTCCTTTTATCTTTTTCATACGTCCCGATGCTTGAATCATTTTTATTAACTTAATTGTATTGGTATAGATCTCGGTCAAACGTAGATCTGCATATCTTGCTTAATAATGTCAGGACCCATGGAATTGACAACCATGCTTTCCTGTGTTTACTTGCTAACAAGATAGAGATAGGGATTATGTTGTGTTGTGTCACGAATCATTTGATCCGTCCAAGTAATCAATCATTTGCAGGAAAATCAGGTCTCCATGCCCGCTTCGAGGTAGGTCCGTTTGAATACCTAGTTTCTTTGTTGTTTGTTGAGGAATTCTATGATTGTATTTTTCCGTGGCCAAACAAGAATTTAGACGGAAAGATAACGCTCACGAGGCCATATTTGAATGGTTTTGTTTTTTGGGAACTTTAATGAAAATTTTCTGGTACTGTTCACTTTAACGAAAAACCATGTTTTTACACTAAAAAGTCAATCCTAGTACTATTCACTTTACCTTTTATTTTGTCTTTTTCGTTAAAACTCTGTTTTCAAGTTATTTTCATTAGTTTTCCTTTATTTTTTAGGCCATATTTGAAAGGTTTGACTTTTTAGGGTTCCTTATTGGTTAGATTATATGCTGAAGTTTTTGAATTTAAACATCTTAACATGGTATGTGTTAGGTCGAATATGCGGATTAGGCAGATTAACTAGGACAATGTGTATGTCCCCTTGCACTCTGGAACCCTCACCCCTCTCCATGTAGTTTAGAGTAAGTAGGGATAGCAATTTAACCTGTCAAATCTAATCCCCGCAAGTAACCGATCCGAACGGTTCGGTTTCAGGCATTAAATTTTGGGTATTTTACAGTTATAGGAAACGTTCGGGCATTAAATTGAAATCATATTTACTCAAGAGTAAATTAGGCTGTCGCTTTGTCAAAAGAAAGTGATACGTGTATTGGTCTTCAAGGCATCAAATGTTTTGCTTTTGGTACAAATTTTGGCACCCGATTCGATTTTAGATGTGTACAACAATTTACAAGTTAAAAAGAAAAGAAAAATATCCTTATTAAGTGTTGGCCAATAGGCTTGACTCGTAAATCAAATTTGCTGTACTGAATGAAAAACTCCAAATTGAAATCTTATCACAAGTCATAAGTGGAGGCTAACTCTCGTCCTCCTAGCGAAAGTGGCAAAAGACAACATGGGTTCATTGGCTGCTTATGACTCTAATTGCTTCACAACCCAATGTATATTTATATGTATATTGGTATATGACTCATATGCAACTGCGACAAACTGAAATGATGAGTAAAAAACAATAAATTACAACACTATTTTTTTGAGCAATTCTATGTATGGTTATTGGTGGATTTTGTTCTCTTTCTTTTGTCTTTTTTCTCATATTTCTTGCGTGCGACCCTATGGTTCGCAAAAAGTGTTCGATAAAATCTTGGCAGGAATCTAATCGACATTACACAGCATAAGGTGAACTCCAACCAAGAATAACTTGCCTACAGATTAGAGAGAATAGATGAATTCCCCTTGGTCATTAATCCTTTGCATAAACATTAGTTATGCCAAATAAAGAAAAATCCATCCTCGAGAATAAAAGTATTGTATGCCATCTAAAAGAGTGAAAGGATAGCATGAGTAGAGACGAAGAAATGAACAAAGGTTCTGATGCTAATTAATTACACTTGTATCATGTCCTTGATATTTTCAATCCTTCTTCCATTTTTTTTCTTTCTCCTTTTAGGTTATAATAAAAAGAATTGAACCGGATTGAACCTTCTTTTTGTTTTTTTCTAACAAGGGATATACGCTTATCCATCCATTTCGGAGATCGGAAAGACTCACAAAGGCATTTCAGCCTCCCCTTGGCCACAAGTCTGGCTTCCACACCAGCAGCGCGTTTCGAACCCAAAACCTCCAGTTTTTAATTTGAAGGAAGCCTCACAATCCGTCATTTACCACTAGGCCATCAGCTCGTGGTTGATTGAACCTTTGGGTTTAAGGTGTTGTGTTTCCACTCACACTTCCCGGATTCAACTAACATGAATGATGATAAATGAGTTCGAATTCTATGAGTTTAACTTCTAGTTGTGGTTAGAATCGTCATCATGAAAAAAACGGAACTTTATCCTATTTAAATTCTAACTCATTATCTCATATTTATTGGCCGCTTGAACTAATAATCATGAAGATAGCAAGAAAAATAGTATTGAAGATGCTCTAGCTATGAGCCTACAACTTACTTTCTGATAATCTTTCCCTCGCATGATTCTCCTTGTTAATCAATATCCTATAGTGGACAAAGAATTGCATTGCTTTTTAATTGGTAAAAAATAAAGGGTTTTCAAGAGGAAATTTGGGGAAGCATGAAGGGATCGGGAAGATCAGTCAAAAGATCCATTGGATTATCGCAAAGCATTTTGGCAAAGTGGTGGACCAAGTTGGTCAAGAAAACCAGTGAGAGGGGTCTGTCTTTCTTAGTTACTTGTTAAGGTTAAAAACTGCAGACTTTGAGATGCTAGCTAGCTGTACATGTCTATAGGGCTGCAAATTTTTTCCGAAAATCCCAAACCAAATAAAAAAAATTTCGATCTCATACCGAAAAATTTTCAAACCGATAATATCCAAAATTTCAGAATCCATACTAAACTGATCCCAAACCTTTTGGTACAGGAATCGGGATTACATATTCAATGGTTCGGGAATCCCGAACTGAACTGAAAAAATATATATATTTACTTTGGTTGCATGCATGTTGAATGTTGAATTTAATTAATTTGATAGTAGACTATATTAGAAATATAAGTATGAAATTAAATAGTTTGGAACTTTGGAACATCAATTTGACTTGGTATGAATGAATTGGCATTTTCAATTGGTATGAAATTTCAAATTAAAATGAGGTAAAAACCTAAATTTTAATTTATATGAAATTAGAAAATAAGATTTTAGGCCAAAAGTCAAAATTTTAGCCCACATCCAAATAAATCTCAAATTTCAAACCCAAAAACCCAAAATTCAATCATGATGCATCCTAAAATACTGAAAACAATTCAGGAATCCTGAAAATTTGGAATACAGAAATTTTGGTTTGGAACGAAAATTTTTGGTTTGGGATTCAGGATCCCTTTTTCGGTTTGGGATCCCATACTGATCCACCCCTACATGTATATGGTGGAGAGAAGCATATGGAAAGCTAGAGTGCAATCAAAACCATCTAGAATTACATCCGTAATATTGATAGCAAACATAGTATTTGGGTCACTCACGTACACGTGTGTTAGTTGAGTATGGCTGAATAGTATCAAGGATTAGAATAAACCTAAACGCACATGGACACTTGACCGTAACATCTTTCTTTTTATGATGTATATAAATTTTTAAATAGAATTTGTCCTACAACCGAAGATATATTATTGGTGACACAATTTCTCTAGTTTTTGAGGTAACATACTTAATATTCATTCAAAAATTTTGAGGGGTCTACTTCTCAATTGAGAAAAATGAACTGCAGCCGTCTTTATCAAATGAATATGATTAGATTAGATTAGATTAAAGAACAAAGGAGAACAGAAGATAGCCTCATGTTGATGTTGTTCGGCTGGATATGTTCCTCACACAACTCTTCCCGAGTGAATGGTGAACTCTAGTGTAAAAATTTGGATAGTGCCTTAGTAGAGCCTTTGTTAAGTTTTTAAGCTTTTTTACAAAGTTTTTAAAGTGTCGGGCGAGCCACTGTTGGCGAAGATCAGTCAAAGATCTATTGGATTATCACAAAGCATTTTGGCAAAGTGGAGGACCAAGTTAGTTAAGAAAATTAGTGAGAGGGGTCTGTCTTTCCTAGTTGTTAGGTTAAAAACTGCAGACTTTGAGATGCTAACTAGCTGTACATGTATGTATATGGTGGGGACAAGGATTGTCTACCCTCCTATTTTCCATGCCCTTCTATGCCCTTCTGTTTGTGTGGTCACAGTTAAGCCACGTCAACATTTTATATTACTATTCATTTTTGTCTTATTATCTTTATAAAAAAAATAATATAAAATGTTAACGTTGCTTAACCGTGACCACACAAAACAGGAAGGCATGGAAGGGCATTGAAAATAGGAGGGCAGACAATCCTTGTCCATATGGTGGAGCGAAGCATATGGAAAGCTGGAGTGTAATCCGAAGCATTTAGAATTAGATACGTAATATTTATAGCAAACGTAGTGTTAGGGTCACTCACGTACGCGTATATAAGTTAATTATGGCTGGATAGTATCAACAGTTACAATAAATCTAAAGTTTTTCATGTAAATTAAATCAAACCATGTTTTAGAACCAGAATGTTCTAACTTTAGACTGGAGGATGAGACTCATGTAACCAATTAAATGATGCCAGGCGGATTAAATTCTTTTTTTTTTTTTAAGGAGGTAGTCGTTGATTTTTTCCGAACTCGTAGAGAGCTACCAATATACCTTGAACTTTAACTTTAGGTGCTCACCCCCTGAATTTTATAATTGTCAAGTTCCCTTTGTACTTTATTTTAGCTGATTACTCCTTGAACTTTTATAATTCGTCAACTTCCTTCAGAATTTTACTTTTAGCTGATCACCACCCTTAATGTTTATAATTGGCTAGTTTCTAGTAATAAATTTTTGAGATGAGTAATTACTTTCTTATTCGAATTTGGGCCCTTAATTAAAATTGGTGAACCGAGACGGTTTTGTGAATCAAGTCACAAGGAAGGCTAATGAAATGGCATCACAATCCGAACATGTTGCTGAAAAAGCAAGATCATGGAGAAGATTCATAGTTGTCCACATTAGAGATAAAATTCAAACAAAAAGCGTATGGAGTGACCTAGTGGAAGAGAATAAGATATAAAAAAAAAAAATATGTTGGCCACATTAGGGATAAAATTACATTTTTGTGTTTAGAAAATTGTCATGTGTCTTGCACATGACCAAAATGGATGGAAAATTAGATGAAAAAAATTCAATATCTAATGCCAAAAGGAAAATTGACCAATTATAAAAAATTGAGTGAGGGGATAATTGGCTAAAAATAAAGTTTATAGGGAAATTGGTCAATTGAAAAAGTTTAGAGAATGTATTGGCTAAAATTAAAGTTATGGGAAAAATTGAAAGCATCTTGCAAGTTAGGGTAAATATACCTATTTATTAAAATAGTTTAAAGAAAAAGACACTGAAAATATGATTATTTGTAATTAATTTACATGACATCATTTAATTGGTTTTGCGTAT